CCCTGTATCGGCATCGCACAACAATGTGCGTTATGTTGCAGTCATTCCTTACGCAAATACCAAGGCAGGCAACTTTGCTGTTGCTCACAACTCTCAGCAGTTTGCTAGTCCGTTTGATTCGGTTCGGTTCCTTGGAGTTGCCAACCTGGTTCGTCGATTCGCGATTTCCAGGTTCAGGTAGGAAACAAGATCCAGGATGTACACTCGTATGACTGGCAGGCGTTCATGGATGAGTTTAGCAAGATTGGTGCTATCAACGGCGATCTGTCGCGTGAGATCTCGAACGGTCTTATCGGCATCGACAAGTGGAAGACTGCTCAGCGCTTTCTCGTTGTTGATTGCTCGCGCATCAGTGAGCCTGGTGTACCTCAGTCGATTAAGGTATCTGGTGTGAACGTTGCTACTCAGGGAACGAACCTCCTGGTGCTCGTTGTTTACGAGCGTACCCTCGAGATTGTTCGCATCACCGGAGAAGTGTTCCGTGCGGACTGAGCTTGGTTTTCGTTGAATTGAAATATTTATAATAATTACGATGTGGCCTAGAATTCCATTGCACTATTCGATTGACACCTGAACTGAATAATATGACAATGCGTTCTTGTAAGTCCACTCTCGTGATTGATGAATTAATATATTTTCAAAAGAATCATGCGGCTATCTATATAGATAGATAGCAATGACTACATTAACTTTTGGCAAGCACAAATCCAACAAGACTATTGAGGAGGTATATGCTTCTGACCCTGGATACTGCCGCTGGCTATCAAATCAAAAAGGTCTCGTTGCTCATGGTAGTGATATTGCCAAATTCCTAGCCCAAAATTTGGCAATGACGATGGATCGTTCCTCATGGCATGGGGCAAATACAAGCTCAGGACTATTATTGAGGGTTGCTGGTCTTGGGTACTGTGTACCAGTTGTACCCATTAACCGGTTAACCCGAACCGGTCCAATCCGAACCCACGTTGATTATGGTGATTACGGTAAGTTGTTTACGCCACCGATGATTAGACGAGTAGGATGATTGGATGAACACCGGTGAGTGATGGTTGATTAGATGCACTAGGTGATAGGACGCAGGGTCGCGTGTCTATAACAGTAGGGTGTAAGCTCCAACAATTCAATCACTTTCGAATCTTCATTCTACCCCTCAAGTGCCTTCGCTCCGGTCCCGCCGTCTGCGACGTCCCTCCCTCCGCTTCGTCCGAGCTTCGTGTCCAAGATCCATACCTTCCATAAGGTTATGAGCCCAAGCACCATGTCCTCTGCCCAAGACGCCTCGACCAAGGTCTCCATTGACAAGTTCAACGGGGACAACTACGCGACGTGGAACCGCTACATGCGTGGCGTGTTCGTGACCAAGTCGACGTGGCATGTCGTGAACCGCGAGACGACGCCGAGCTTCACGGACTCGCGGGCCAAGGACGACTACGTCAAGTCGAGCAACATCGCGTTCGGACTGATGTTGCTCCACATGGACGCGGACTACCACCATGTGGTCGACGACTGCGAGGAAGCGTGGGTTGCGTGGACGCGCCTGAAGACGCTGTACGGTGGTTCGCAGAAGGCTGGACGCATCTACCTGAAGCGCCAACTCTTCAGCATGGAGATGTCGGAAGGCGGCAACGTCTTGCATCATTGCAACGAGGTCCTCAACATCAGCGCCAAGCTCAGCAGCATCGGCGCCAAGATGGAGGATGAGGACGTGGCGATCTGCCTGTTGCGCAGCCTCCCCAAGAGCTACGAGAACGTCGTGCTGAACTTGGAGATGAGCAGCGCTGAACTACGATCGCAAGACGTCGTGAAGGTGCTGACGAATGAGCACATCAAGAGACAAGGCGAGGAGACGGCGACGGTGAAGACGGAGAATGCGGCCAAGGCGTTCAACACCGACCGAGAGTCTCGCCAGTGTACGTACTGCGGGAAATTGGGGCACACGATTGACAAGTGCTGGACCAAGCAGAAGGACGAGAATCGGGGCCCAAGACGCGGCGGCAATGGCAATGGCCGTGGACGCGGGGCCAACAATGCCCAGTGGAGGAACGACGACGCCAGCTACAACTACGACTACGGCTATGATCGAGTGGCGTTCGCGGTCTCACTGGAGTGTGGCATTTCGACGGGCAAGAATGTGTCCGGGTTGTGGGCGGTCGACAGCGGCGCAACGCACCACATCTGCAACGACAACGCCAAGTTCGCTCATTTGATTGAGCGGAATGAAGGCGAACTTTCGGTGGCCGACGGCAACAAGGCGGCCATCATGGGTGTGGGGACCATCGTGGAACGAGTGGTTCTGCCCAACGGCGACGAGCGCGACATCGAGATCAAGAACGCGCTGTACGTCCCAAGCATGAGCAAGAATCTGCTTTCGGTGCCACAGATCAACAAGAGTGGTCTGTTCCAAGTCGTGTTCGACAGCACCAAGATGCAGATTGCGCACAAGGGCTCCAAGCAAGTGGTGGCGACGGCAAACCTCGTGGATGGACTCTACTGGCTCCAGACGCCTCAGCGATCGGCGAATGCGGCGACCAGTGGGAAGACGGTCGACTTACACGCGCGTATGGGTCACGCTCCGGTGGAGGTGCTTCGCAAGATGGTCGACAACAACATGATCAAGGACGCGAAGGCACCTTCCAAGTCGAGTGGACCAAGCGTGTGTCGCGGCTGCCAGCAAGGGAAAATGGTCCAGAAGCCGTTCCCAAGCAACCGTGACAAGCGTCACTACGACACGTTCGAGCTGCTCCACTTCGACGTGTGCGGCCCCATGGAAGAAGAGTCACTGGGTGGCAGCAAGTATCTGCTGCTGATCGTGGACGAAGCCAGCGGATGCATGAAGGGGTTCTGCCTGCGTGCCAAGTCGGAGAGCGAGGACTGCATCAAGATGTACGTCACGAAGGTGCAGACGCAGTTCGGCAAGAAGGTCAAGTTTGTGCGGCACGACGGAGCCCGTGAGTTCGCGACCAACTCGCTCAAGGCCTTCTACGAAGTCGAAGGCATCGAGCAGCAAACCACGGTTCCGTACGCGCACCAGACCAACGGCACGGCAGAACGCGCCATCCGGACCATCGTCACGATTGGCCGCAGCATGCTGCATCACGCCAAGCTGGACAAGAGCTTCTGGGCTGAGGCGGCCATGACAGCCATCTACGTGAAGAATCGTCTGCCATCACCCAAGATCGAACACAAGACTCCGTTCGAGATCGTTTACAAGTCCAAGCCGAGTGTGAAGCACATGCGTGTGTTCGGATGCCAGACGTACATCCTGACGCCGAAGGAAAGACGGCGCAAGTGGGACCCCAAGGCTCGCGCCGGGCTGTTCCTCGGCTACGAAGAAGTGTCCAAGGCGTATCGAGTTTATGACATCGAGGCGGGGCAGGTGGTTATCAGTCGCGATGTCAACTTCGATGAGTCGACCTTTGGACTTTCGACGCATACTTCGGATGAAGACGTCGATGATGCTGTGCTGGACTTGGACGCGCTGGACCTGGACGACAACGATGGACCGCGCCAAACGAGCTTCAAGCAGGCGGGGAAGCGCAAGTACCGACCGAGTGGCGACGACAACACTGCCAGAAGATCGCGCCCCGTTCGCCACCGAGCTGGCTTAGAAGAAGCAAGTGCGCCGGACGTATCCTCCTCGCGCCGAGCCGACCCCGACGAAGAAGAAAAGTCTGGGGACCAAGATGAAGACGACGACTCGACGCCTCCAGTGTTTTGGCGTGCCAGTGGAAGCAGCAGCCGATCTATCGGAGCCGACGACGTTCCAAGAGGCTGTGAACGGTTCTGATCAAATGCACTGGCGTAAAGCGATCCGCGCGGAGCTCAAGTCGATGCGACTGCGTGGTGTGTTTCGAGCTGCCAAGTTGCCTAACGGACAACGCGCCATCGATACCAAGTGGGTGTTCAAGATCAAGCGCAAAGCGGACGGCTCGATCGAGAAGTACAAGGCGCGCCTCGTGGCCAAGGGCTTCAAGCAGAAGTACGGCATTGACTACACCGAGACGTTCTCGCCCGTGGTCAAGTATGTGACGCTGCGCATGGTGATCGCGATTGCTAAGTATTTTGGCTGGCCCCTCGACCAACTCGACGTGGTGACAGCATTCCTGTACGGGATAATGAAGGAGGTGGTCTTCTGCGTGGTTCCGGAAGGCGTCGAACTGGATGGTGACTTCGACTGCCTGGAACTGGTGAAGGCCATCTACGGTCTCAAGCAAGCTTCGCGAGGGTGGAACGAGACCTTCGACGAGTTCGTGTGCTCCATCGGCTTCCAAGTGTCGGCCTTCGATCCGTGCCTCTACATCAAGGTGGTGGACGGTCACTGCGTGCTTGTACTGGTGTACGTGGATGACGTACTGATTACCGGGAGTTCGCCCGAGCTGATCGCACGCACGAAGACCGACCTGAAGACGCGCTTCGAGATGACCGACAGCGGCAAGTGCGCGTTTGTTCTTGGGATCGAGTTGGTGGACGGCCCGGACGGCAGCGTGACCATGTGTCAGCGGCGATACGTGGACGACATCCTGAAGCGCTTCGCCATGGACGAGTGCAAGGCCGTGGTGAGTCCGGTGGACATAAGCACTCGACTGGTTCCAAGAGACGCGGCGACCAAGGTGAACGCTCCGTTTCGCGAAGCTGTTGGTGCTCTGATGCACCTGATGACCGCCACGCGCCCAGACATCGCGTACGCCGTTGGCTATGTATCGCGCTTCATGGAGAACCCCCAAGAGGAACACTGGGTTGCGGTCAAGCGTATCTTTCGCTACCTGCAAGGCACCAAGACGCATGGGATCTGCTTCAAGCCGGGCGACAAGATCGACTTTCGTGGCTACTCGGACGCGGACTGGGCCGGCGACCTCGCCGACCGCAAGTCCACTTCAGGCTACACGTTCATGCTCATGAGTGCGCCTGTGAGCTGGGGAAGCAAGAAGCAATGAAGCGGAGTACATCGCGCTCAGTCTGGCTATCCAAGAAGGCAAGTGGATTCATCGCCTGCTATGCGAGATTCTGGCGGCCGCTAATGAGACTGGACCCGAACTCATGATCCGCGAAGACAACCAGTCGTGCATCAAGATGACGAAGAACCCAGTGAACCACGGTCGCGCCAAGCACATCGACATCAAGTACCACCACATCCGCGATGAAGTCAAGCGCGGCGAAGTCAAGCTCCAGTACTGCGAGACTTCTGTGATGCTAGCGGACATCATGACGAAGGCGCTTGCGGGACCACGCCACACGGATCTGACGGTGGCTCTCGGCATTCGTGGGACTTCGCATTGAGGGGGCGTATTGAGGGTTGCTGGTCTTGGGTACTGTGTACCAGTTGTACCCATTAACCGGTTAACCCGAACCGGTCCAATCCGAACCCACGTTGATTATGGTGATTACGGTAAGTTGTTTACGCCACCGATGATTAGACGAGTAGGATGATTGGATGAACACCGGTGAGTGATAGTTGATTAGATGCTATTGAGGGTTGCTGGTCTTGGGTACTG